AGCCACGAATGGCATATGCAGCTGTGAGAGTCTCTGCTGGCATCTACTAGGGCTAGCCTGTACATGGCCACTTCTTAAAAAGTCCATTTCCTCTTATGAATAGGCATGATCTGCTTATTAAGACAAGAAGCACTTTCCCCTATCCCTCCTTCCCTCCCTCTCTCCCTGACTCCCTTTGTGGTGACTGCAGCGCGTCGCTGCCTGAGCGCAGGGCTGGTAAGTTATGCATGCTGGAGCTGTTCTTTTGTGAAGGGGAGATGTTACAACTTGTGTGATTTGCCATTATGCTGTCTTTTGTGACAATCCCAAGACCGAAAGAAATGTCTGGAATATTTCTGGCAAAAAAAAACCCCAAACAACTGAAGTCCAAGAAAGGATTCAGCAGAGGATGTTGGTGTGCTTTACATCTGAGAGAAGAAAGACAAATCATATACTCCAGTGCCCCCACCCTCAAAGCAAAACCATCTTTATACGCACACAGGGATTTTACAAATCCCCAAGTCCCTTCTTCTGAAAATTTATGGCAAAACAGCCATCAAAGTTTCTGAGCAGGGAAAAAAAAAAATTTCTAATACCCACTAACAAGTCTGTGACCTGGATATCATGCATAGACAGCTTTGTCTAAAATTTCCATTTATGATGGAATCTGAAAGCAAAGTTAAAGTCTTCATATCAAGCCCTGAATCTCTGGATCCCCAGCTACTGCTTCCTCAGGAAAACCGTAATTTTTTAATAAATTACTTTACAATAATATTTTACATTTTACAAAGAAAACACTGCCACGTATGTTCTGTACGAGAAAAATCTGCTGTTCTCAAAAAAACACCAAGAAAAATGTGTTTGTCAATTAAAGACATACATCATGAATGTATTTCACCTCTGAAGTGAAGCGCTCATGTGTAGAGATGTGCTTCGATTTAGGTCTTAGCTTCTTAAAGTGCACAGTTTGAGTCACTCCACATACTACTGAAATTCAATTGTATTACTATTATTATTATTATTATTATTATTATTATTATTATAAGAATAATAATCATCTAAATATAAGACTGTAAGGGGAAGATATACTGGAAGCGAATTTGTTTACAGCACAATTAACCTTATGTTAAAAACATATGAACAAGTTTTGCAGGTCAAATAATCTACCATGCGAAAAGGGCTGAATTATCAGAATTTGTGCTAGCAATCGGATGTTGCTTTATGTACTGAATTTCTATCTTTCTGTTCTAAAGTAACCATTGGAATAATTTTCTTACAGAATGATAGTTGCTATGACAACCATAGCAAATTTTCCTTTTCTGAAACAGATGTCTCATTTAGTTGAAAATTAGAATGTGAAAAACCCATGGGAAAAATTAATTCAAACTTTAACAGAACACTGACTACAATGTAATCTCCTACAGGTTAACCCCTTAACATCTTTCTGCACTCTTATAGTAACCTTCTCATAAATTCTAATTAAACCAGTTTAACCTCCTAGGAATGACCTTCTTAGCTATCATTAGTGCTTTAGTTGTCTTTGAAAGGAGCACTTCTGTTACAATAAGAACAGAAAAAAGTCATACTAAAAAAAAAGTGGTCAAACATATTACTGCCTTAATTATTTATTAGTTTTTCTTCTTTTATTCAGCTACTACAGGAAAGAGCTACCATGTAGTCCAAGAATTCTTTTGTCATTTAAATGGGGCATAACTTACTTTTACATGTGATTTACTGTAAAGGGCGGTGATGCACTACACCGATTTGACCTGTAATTTACGTGAAAATTGAAGGTTTTCAATTTGCAAACTACTGGTACCCATCTCAATCTGCTGAGCAGATGTACAAAAAGGGGACACAAAAAAGGATACTTGACTGGGGAAAACTATCAATGTGGATGGATTTTTCTATTACAAGCAGTGAGAGGGTGAAATCTGATTCTCCATTACCTTGATTCAATTTAACCGTTTTAACTTAAAGAATGGATTCCTTCCTCTCTGTACACTTAGCAGCTCAAAGGGACCCTCCACAGTACTCAGTCATTGGCTACAGATGAACATGGCAGGCAGCCAGCAGGCAAAGCAATATTTCCACCACAGCACTGCCCGTGATGCTTGCAGGATGTCAGCTACCACAAGAACTTCAGGACTGCAAGATTTACTGCATCAACTGCATCTAGATTGTCCAGTTGAATAAGACAAACCCTGCCACCAGGAGGCACACAATTAATCTCTGATTTCAAGGAAAACTCCCTTGCATAGTCCAGTACCCTCAGAGAGCTTCGGATGGTAACTGACTGAATAGCTATTAGCGTATCAAAGGGATTGGTGGGCAGCATTTTGCAAACCTCTTAGTAGCAAAAAATACAGATCGAAAACACAATGTGCAGATCATTGTACCTCCTCATTTCTATGAAGTTTTCTACAGAAATCTTTTTTTGCAG